ATACTGTCTTATGAACCGAAAATTATCTATCAAACAGTGTAGAACATTTTGGGAACAACGGCATTTTTTATATAAAAATCTGTGTCAGAAAAAAAACGCCATTACTTATGGGCCAACCCGATAACTGGGCAAACCTAAGGTTCCAAGTACAACATCCTCGAAGTCCATGAACGGAAACCGGTCCTTTAACTGATCCCTGGTTAAAAGTGCCACGCATGCTCCTTTGTCGCTAAAAAATAATGAATAACCACACTATTGCTTTTAGCAATGTCACGGGGACCTTCCGAACCATCGCTTACAGTTGAATCTTCCAGCTTTTCCTCAACTCCTCAGCTTGCTCCTCATTCTGGGCCAGATAGAGAAATCCGTTCGGCAATAAGTTTATATCTGGTGGGGCATTGTCTGAACAAAAAGGATAACGAACTGTTGACGGCTTGAAAATTCCTCAGAGGTCCTTAATAGCGTACCCAGAATTCGAAGATGTTCTCCAGCATGACGAAGAAATTCGGCCGTGAAAAGCGACATTTCAACATGTTCAGGAATGGAAAACTGTTGAGAAATGCCCCCAGTTGACAGCATTGTAGAGCTCTGAGTAAACCTGCAAACAATCAGCAGATTAAAAAACCTCTAAGCTCAGAATAAAAGGGCAGTTCGGCGACGGAGGGAGTGGGGAGGGGCATTTCGCACTTTCGCTGCTTCCCACTGTCGTGTTCGTTGCTCTACAATGAGTGACAGGTATTCTTTCACAAAAGTTAACAAGTAGTTTACTTAGACTGGTTCACTATAAGGCTTCATATTCTCTCACAAATCTCTACTTGATGGCTTGCCACGACAATGAGGAGCATCGAAAGTATAAAATGTCCCTCCTCCTGTCGCCGAACTGCTCTAAAACCATACTTGTCATTATTTTCAACCACAACAACTTTGAAATCTTCATCTCGAAAACGCTCCTTAATCCAGTAAGCCGTGGAAGAGCCTACAAAGAAAAGGCATCAAGAGGGCTGAAGAAAAACTCGACGACGGGAATCGTACCAGCGAGCCCTCCTCCAATGATGAGTATCTCGGCTCGAAACGGAAACAATTCATTATCGATTACTCCTTGTTTCATGTGAGCTATAGGGTTACGACGTTTGAATGCATCTCTTCGGGCCTGCAATGGAAAAATCAGAAAGTTACACATAAATGGAACAGTATAATCAGTAATAATCGACAAATTTGTCGTTCTTTAAACTTTTTAGCTAGTTGCTAGTGTAAATCAAAAGTAGGAGTACAAGGTCAGCACTTGTTCAAAAGCATACTCTGCACTTCTCTATGAAAC